TAAATAATGTTTAGGTATAGGAAAGTTACTCTGCGAGATTTTTAAATAGCGTTGGTGGAGATTTTTCCCTCCTTCAGGACTTTCAAGAACTGGATTCATCATGGTGCTAGTGCACATGATCTTAGAGGTAGAGAGAGTCAGAAAATAGTTCCAGCAATGTTCTTTACTCTGTCCATAAAAAAATTTCTGCAGTTTTGAAAGAAATGTGGCATATAGAAAGTGCACGATGAGATGGTGTGATGTCAATGCTTTCTTTTTCACATGGATGACATATAAATCAATGAGAACCATTTTAATATCCCTAAAACACACATTGTTGGGGGGAGGGGTTGCTTTGTGTTTAAGTGTGCCCAGGTGCACCTAGACAGGTAAATATACATGTTTTCTTAGTAGTCAATGCATTCCCCATTTCTGGGGCTGATCATAGCACCCAGCAATTCTACAGAACAGCTTAGAGCAGGAAAAAACGTGTCCAAATAACAAGAAAGCACTTTCCCTTCAATTCTTTATCAAAGAAAATGTTTCTGCTTTGTCCGCTAGCCCTATTAACTCCCCATTATGATAATTAACTTGGTTTTAAGGAACATCAGTCTGTGACACAGCACACGTTTGCTTCCTGTGTTCTAGAAATTTTAAAGAAAAACCACACCAACACTGAATCTGGCAGATGTTGAAATCAGAAATCAGAGTTCCGGAGACAGGAAGAAATACATTAATCGTGGATAAATTTTATGTAAGGAAAAATAAACAAACATGAGAGAATTACTCAGCCATTCCTATTCTGAGGGGTGGAAAATATCTTATATAAGTAGTTCCAGTGAAAGAGAATATTGTATATTTGTTAAACAAACAATTCAAAGTATGCATTATTTGCCCACTGAGGATGTTAAAGTCTTTAATTGTTAATACTAGGTCCTGCCCACATGGGAATGTTTTAACTAAAGGACTGCATCAAATTTCTGCAGCTACTTGCAATAATAATTTATAACAACAAGACAACAATGGAAAAACAAGTTCAAGTTTGGGTATGATGGACAAAAATGGGTTTCCAATAGGAGAAACTGACTGAAATAGCTACTGTGGAAAAAATCCTGCAATAGCTAGTCTGTAACACCTTTGTTTCCTTGTAAATGCTTTATTCTATCACATTGATTCCAGAACCCAGTGTGTACACAAGTTCCTGAATAGCAGCTATTCCAGTCAATTACCCTGCGTAGACAACACCTACATAAAGATCTCAAAGGTAATTTGTTGACTGGGAAAGAAAATGCTGCATAATAGAAAGCCCCTCTACACATGCAGGTAAAGGCACAATGGGATCTAAATGTGTGATTCACACAATTGCGCTTCCTGCCATGCCACATGTTCATGTCAGGAGGTATGATTGTGGGATCATGCATTAGATCCTATTGCACCTTATTGCCGGTACAGGTATAACCCAATCCTGGGCTCCTCCCAATACCAGCAAAAAAACAAGCTCCCATGGCTAGGAACCCCACCATAGAGGGGCTCCCAGCCACAGAGGTGCCCCATGCACCCCCAGGGCTGGGAGATCTCAGCTGCCATGATCCCTCAGCCTTAAGGGTGATGAAACCCCCAGTGCTGGGGGATCATGGCTGCTATGATCATCTAGCCTCGGGGGTGGTTTGTGGTCAGCCACAATGCCATAACCCTGGGGCATCCCCCCCCAACTGCTGGAATCCAGCTACACATTTTCAAGGTTTAACTTTATAGTTGGTGGGGGCTTTTTATGGTATGGCTACTTTGCACATGTAGCTGGCCTCAAGGTAATTGTACAATTAACCAGTTCAATGCGCAAAACCTGTAACATGTAGAGGGGGCCAAATACAGCACTGGGGAATGGTTCAGAAGATAGGGGTTCTGTTCCTCTGCAAGAAACTTACTGGTGACACTGAGCAGGTCACTTCACTTCTGCATGGCTCAGTTTCCCCAGGTATTCAATGGAGCTTATGCTTACCTCTTTTTTAAAGTGCTTACAAATGCACTGGTGAAGAGTGCAGAAACAATGTAATAGTTATTATATACTAATATGATTATTATTACTAAATATCATCACAGTGGGTAAGAGTAGGAGTTCCTGTTCTATTCCCAGCAGTTCTACTAACTTGCTCCCTCTTGCTTTAGTCCGCTTTAACTATCTGTATCTCAATGTTTCTATCTCAGACATGAGAATTGTATCACATATGCACTTCACATGGGTGTTGTGAGGCTTTGGGAATATCTGTAAAATATTCTGAGAGCCTCACTTGATCTTCACTGTACAACTGTAAAATAGTATTAATGGTCAATAAGGTCCCGATTCAGAGAAGTACTGAAGCATCCCATGATGTCTTTAAGATCCCTTGACATCAATGGGAATTGGGCACCTGCTTTACTAAATAGGCTGGACTTTATTACATATGTAAGTGCTTTGTTAAGGCAAGGCCTTAAAGGGAAAAACTAAGGGAAAAATTATAATAATGGTTAAATAACTTGCATGTTTACAGAAATGCTAATGCAACCAATTTGGTATTCAGTTCTAATGCCTGTAGACTCCAATTCACTTGACCTACTGAGTTAGGTTGGGAATACAACAATTTAAAAGTCCTGACACACAAAGTTCCACTCCAGACTTGGGAAAACCTACCTCGGGGAAAAAGAGACTGTGCAGAACAGCCTTTCAGTTCATGCATTTTACTGTTTTGCCTGGCTTGTTCATATTTAGGCCACAGAACAAGTTTGTTCTTCTTTGAACCCTGTGAGAACAAAGTGGCTTCCTGTTTACAGTTTTTGTCTGTACAGAAACAGCAAAAGACTCTCAAGGATTCAGATGCAATCAACTATTTCTCAATGTATTTTATGCCCTCAACTGTTTGGCTCCCATACTCATCTTTGTTTGTCTACAACACTCAGACTTCACCAATGGTCTTCTGACCCAGTCCAAAGCACTTTGATGATGTCTTTGATTTTTGTGGCTGCTGAATCAGGAACTTTTAAAGTCAATATGAGCTTTCCATTAAGAATCACTGCTGTGAATTTATACCGCTTGAGACCTGAGAGGAAACACTGTCCTTCAGTTAGTCTGAATTTTGCCACTGACTTCAACAGGGCCAGGATTTCATTCTAGTAGCCTTCATAGCCTGGCAGTTAAAAGGTGATCTGATTCTATGTTGTTTAAATGTAAATGAATGGTTTTTATTATGTTCCAAGACCTGAGCTGAAGATTAGCATTTTATTGTTAATACCAAACATAATGCAAAGCTCCCCACTCCTTTAGGTGTTACTCATACCATCAACAAAAGCTTGAGAAATGCAAATCACAAATGCAGGACTTGGCAAGTCCATAAAGGAGCAAGTAATTTTACACCTAATGCTACACCTTTATTTTAAAGTGCTTTATATGTCACTTAAAAGTCTATGTTACTAACTACAGCGATTATGTAGCTTTCATTAAGAAAAGGGTTTTTGGAGGTTTTGAACTTCCAGCCTTCTCTACATGTGGGGGCAATGTTCAGAGCTCAAGTCTAACAGATGGGAACTCATAAGTACTACTCACAGCTCTGCTACTGCCTTCTTTGACGAGTCATGTTAGCCTTGCTGCCTCACTTTCCCCATCTGTAAAATGGGAACAGTAATATTTACCAGTTTACTTCACAAAGGCATTGAGAAGTTCATTGAATTAATGTCCATGAATTGATTTGATGATGAAAGTACTACAGAAGTAGAAAGTTTTATTTTTTTGGCTTGATAAGGTTTGCCTTATTGTGTGATTTGTACTGTGGTGAGTTAGGATTTGGGATAGCTAAGATAATTTGTATTTGCAATATATAGTGAAAATTATGTATACACGCCTAGGAATTCAAGATAACAATTAATCAATAAGCAACCACCACTGCCAACAGCTCCCAACAGCTCTGGTTGAGAATAAATACTTAATGTTATTTTGCAGGTAGATACAGCACAGCTTTCCATTGGATAATGACTGCATCACAGGTTAATTATCCCATATGTCCTAACTCCATTGGATGAGTGACTTTTAGCTGAATGGGCTCTAATAAGACAATATGATCTAACTTAACACTGGTTGGTGAATTATTCACTTCTGGGTTCCAGTCCCAGCTCTGGTACTTACCTGCTGGGTGGCCAATGACAAGACACTTCCTTGCTTTGTCCCTCAGTTTCCAAATCTATAACATGGGATACAACTGCATGCAGGGGTGTAACACAGACTTACTCAACAATCTCTGTATACAATTTTGAAATTAAAAAAACAAAGCCTGTGCATTAAAAATGCCATTAGTATTGATAACTTAGTTCAGCTGCCCCTCAGAGGGTCAATTCATTTTTAAGCTCTACCAGATCCCATTTTCATAAGAGAAAAAGATCATTCCTGTTTTAAACCCACTTACACTGTCATATAACCTCCTTTCCCAAGATAAAAGTTAATAAATAAGCTGAATATTAATGTGTGTGTTATTTATATATGTTATAACACACACACACGCTTATTTTTATCCTTTATTATAACAAACATTCAGAGTATTCCCAGATTCCTATTTCAAGGCTTCATTTTTGCATAATGTTTAAAGAAAATGCATGGATCTTTACTGGTTAAAAATTGACAAAGGAACTATTGAATTAAACTTATATAACCTTTTTCACCCACCAATCTCATAGCATGTTATAAACGCAAATGACACTATCATCGTAGGGCATCTGGGGAACCTGAGGTGGGGGGCAGTTAAATAGCATGGCCGAGACTGCACAGAGAGTCACTGGCAGAGGAGAGAGTGGAACCCAGGCCCTTGAATCTCATGTGCCAAACCCTGTCCACTGTATTACTACTGATTTTGACTTCCACTAATGCCCATCAAACAGTGAGCACTAGTATGCACAACCCTCCCCTCTCCCCTGGACAACAGGAACATTCCTTACACCTGTACCCCTGAACAGAGTAAACACTCACTCTTGTTCTCTTAAACCCAGTCTCATTCACCCACCTGTTTGTAAGCATCTAGGAGGAAGCTATTCCAGACGCAACGCAGCCCCTCTGAGGTCAGCATCCTTCGCCACTCACCACGCGCAGACTTAGACCGACTCAGAAACAGCACCATGTGCTTCAGGAGGATCACAGAATCATAGAGTGCAAGGAAGAGGCAATTGGAGAAAAAAACCGGCAAGATCTGAAGCGTGATCAGCAAATCCACGCTTAACAGACCCATTTTCCCTGCTGCTGCTCTTCAACAGGCTGCCTTCAGCTCCCTTTCTCCCCCTGTACCCTCATTGGAAAAAAACTAAACTAAAAGACATGTTTAAAAAGCTCCCCAGCCTCTCTGTGTCTTTCTTTAAAGTCAGTAGAGATGGTTAAATAGAATCTGTCTGGTCAAAACCCATAACTCTGCATGGAATTCATTCAACTCTAAGTTGTTCTTTATTTTTCAGAGGCTAAGATGTTTAAAAAAAAAGTTCCCTTTTCCAGTAGCCCTTAAGACTACATTAAAGCGAGAGGCAGCTGTGCTTCCAGTACCCTGCAGTTATAAAATTTAAGCAGAGATTGTTAACTTTCCCCTACTATCCCATTGTCTCTCAGCTATTTAAGCATGAAACAGAACTCTCATTTCTGTTTCACCAGTGCTACCAGGTGCAACAAGACTTTTTTTTTTTTTAAGTCTCTGTATACAAACTTTCTTTTCCTCTCTCCCTTGCTCCTTGCTCCTTCCTCCCTCCTCTCTCTCTCTCTCTCTCTTGCTATCTGTCTGTGGTGCAAAGTGCTTTCCCTCTGGAGTCCTAGCTTGCTTCCCTGTAGCCTTTTATACATTCCCTGGCTAATTGCTGCAATAGAGAAATGAAACCCTAATCTTAGTAAAGATCTTGACGTCAATGTAAAAGAGGGCTTTACTTTGGCCAGGACTGCAGTGAATAGAAAAGTGAAATTCTCAAAACTTTTTTTTTTTTTAAGAGAAGAGAAAAAAAGAGAGAGAGAGAGGCAGGGAGGGAGGGAGGGAGGGAGGGAGAGAGGCTGGAACTTTGCTTTGTTGTTGAAAAGGAAAAAAAAATCAGTGTGCTTCTGAGTGCTGTTAAGTGCTTTCAAACTTTGGGAAACGTATTTTTGTATGACGTGGAAGGTAACACAGCAACACAGGCATCTGCTATTTTTTTTCTCCTGAGGCTTTTTATTTGCTTTGCCCTTTTGTCTTTTCCAAGAAGGTGTGTGAGTTGATGCATCCCAAGAAAGAGTATATTTCTGTATGTTTCCCTCCCACTCTCATCAAGTACAATGTTCCTGGTGTTTTAAATATCTTTTGTTGTCCTGTTGGTATTTAAGGAAACATAAGTAAACACCCAGGACTGACTTAATCTACTGATGTGTAAGAGGAAAAAAGGGAAAAGATTTTGAATGAGTTTTGTTAAGCTGAAGCTCCTCACTTTAAAAAAGGGCCAAATTTCCCATTGGTGTAAATCAGTATAACTCCATTGACTTCAGTGTCCAATTATAATGTTATATATTTAAAACACCTAAGGATCTGATCAATTTTCAGTAATTTACTTTGGGCTCAAAAATTCTAGGAAGGAAGAAAGGAAATCAGTTGCCTTTGGAAAATCAGCATGATGAAAACACCGTGTTCACTTGCACTGCTAATTTTGTTTTCAATATTTTTTTGACTATTTAACCCTGTCCAGAATTTGGTATTTTTATCTTTGCACTTGTGCAGCAGATACATTTGTGCTGTTTGTAACAGGGTTCTAACCTCCCAAGGAACATATTTTCATCATTTCATTTAACAACTCGATCTTTTTTATTTTTGAGATAATTTCTCTATCTAGGTGTTCTCATGAGCCTCCACACCACATAGGGACATGAACAAACAAGCACATTACAGCATTGGAAAAGGAGGTGAGGACTTACCACAAAGCAGCTGATGCACTGTTCTTTCCATGTGCCCACCTTGACCCTTTGACTTGTGGATGCTAAACTGAGGTAACTTAGCCCTCAATGAGAAAGGGCCAAGGTGTCATGGTTTAGCTTTTATATAGTACAGGGTAAGAGTGGGCACGTGCACAGTTACCACAGAACAGCCAACATGTAGTAAGCCCCTTGTCCCTTTTAACTCCCCTCACTTTGCTTGTTTGTACATATCTAAAGTTTAGCTCCCAGAGATGTCATGTGAATAGCTAGCTTTCCTATTTAACGAGTGACTGGACATGCTGACTGTAGCCATGCAAATTTTCCTGACATCATCTCACTAATATGTCTCAATCCTACTCAGCATGGATCATCAATAGCCATAGTACTTTCCACACTATCAAGCAGAAATCAGATGTCACCAGTCATCTATAGCCTGGGATTGTTTAGCATGTATTTATATCTGGTACCAGTTCTGCCTTCAGGTGCATGTGCAGCTCCCACATGCACACTGGTGACTATGTGTATTTCCATTATAAATGCAGAAGTGTTCTGGAGTTAAGCTCAGAGCCTCCTTCAAATGAAATCACGTCTGTTCAGTTTTTCCTTCAAATTAAATCACTGTTAACGTCAACAGGGCTGTTGGTGACATTGCCCTGTTGCCAGGGAAATGGTTGCAATGTCACAGATTCAGCTTTATAATTTCAACTTGCAAAAACAAGTTATGAATTGGAATTTATATCTCCCCACACATGTATGAGTCAGCATGTTCTTGTAATGTGAGCACAACACTGGGGAAAAGGGTCCCGTGAGTTCTAATCCTGGCTCTCACTTGACTTGCTGTCTGGCCTCAGGCAAGTATATTTAATCTTTCTCTTGCAGGGAGTTTTAAAGCACAGATCACTGCATTATCTCACCATTATATGTACCATCAAAAATTACAGTATCCTGTGTGTGAGGGGTGCCATTTTCTGCCCCTTTACTTTATTCTTCCAAAAATTATTAAAAGGGAAGTTTGAGGGAGAAGGAGTGAAACTTGCTGACAGATATATGAGATCAGTCAGTGTCATTGGGGATATTTGCAGACACCTTGAAGAACAGCGTGGCCCAGTCTAATCCTTTTCTCCCAAGTTAAGTATAACTCTAGCCAAAGACCTACATTGAGAGTACCATGTATCATGGACTCACCTACCCAAAGAGTACAATTGTCTCAGTGATTCATGGATACACAGACTGTCTGTAAGGCAGCTAGACTCCAATCCATTGAGCACTCTGAAGTGGATCAGAAGTTGACTGGAAAGTCAATGGAGCAAGGGTGTCACATGCTCCTTATTACTTAAGAGGTGGACTGCTGCAGGTCTTGTTATCTACAGCTTCCACGGCTGTCCCATTCACCCCCAGAATGTGGGTGTAATGAAACTTTAATCAAAAGGTGATAATTTTGTGGAGCACTGTTTTGAAATCTTCCTCAGACCGAAAAAAGTATTTTGACCAGTTGAAAAGTGTAGAAGGTATTTCTTGCTACTGTTGCTATCTTTTTTCTAAGGAGCAGTGATGGGCCAACTGAAGTTCTGAGCGTGCTTCTTGTCTTGACAGTCTAAGGACAAGAGTCTTTAATAAAGAATGAGGTTAATGCTTACTATTATGTCTGTCATTCTTGGACTGAATCTGACATTGATCCAACTGGTTATTTCCATCAAACACTGCAACATCTGGGAAATAGTACTGCCTTCATCTGCCAAGAAAGCGAGGTAGAAATATGGATCTTAACATATGGGCAGTGTGAAAGTCCACAACATCTCCCTGCTCTCCACACCCCCAACCCAGGCAACTTCACATAACATTGAAAAGAGGGAGAGAGAAGACAAGAGACATGAAGACCTCAATAAGTAAATGCTGATTAGCAAGAAGATTAGAAGCTCCTTATGGGAGGAAGGCTTTTCTAGAAGTTAAGGTACATATTTGGGAGATCTGGGATTATTTCTCTGCTCTGCCACAGACTTTCTCTATGAACTTTGTCAAGTCACTCAGGCACTCTCCGCTTTGGTTCCCCACCTGTAAAATAATACTTCCATATAGTTGTGAGGGGCTCAAATGCTGTAATGAGAAACATGGACATTCCATGAATACATACATGTCCAAGAACAGTGAGAAGAGTCAACCCAATCCTACACCATCCACTGCAACTGGATTTTGTATGTGTATAAGGTAGACAGCTTGAGCATGGATCTCTGCAAATAACATTGAGAGATCATGTGAGAGGCAAGGAATTCTTGGAGTGATATATTTTATTGGACTATGTGCCCATCTGGCTTTGAATGCCCGCTCACGTGTGGCCTTAGTCCGCACTGTAAGAGGGATACGTTCCACTGCTTCGTGAAACCCCTGAGGTGGGTGTCGGTTGCCTCAAGGACCACCCCCAAACTTTCCTGCCACAACTTTGAATGTTACACTAGTGGAGGGAGTAGCCTCTAGAAAACCCTCAGGAGTGATCACATCGCCAGCCGGATGTTTATGAGCCTCCACCTCCCCTACACCCCAAACCTAATGCCAACCTCTGACGGAGCGCCAAGTCTCAAGGCTACCGTTCCTCCAGTGTGGATGTTCTTGAGCTTCGTCACCTCTTCAAGGCTCTAGGCTATTGTCCCCTCACTTCCTGTGAGTGAGACATTGAATTAGCTTGGCCCCTGTGTCTCGAGTCCCCTGCTACTGGCAGGTTCTGCTCCTGAGTCCCATTTGGTTGCCCTTGCGCCAGTGAATAAAAGAAAGAAGAAAAAAAGAAGAAGAAACCCGCAATTCTGGGGTCATAGGAGTCAATCCCCTCAGCTCTCTGCCTGTACCCGGCAAGGTTTTCCCCGACATCTCCCTCCCTTCTGCATCCCCAGCGCATCTTCACGGCCCAATACCTGAGGGTAACTGGGCAGATGGGATTTTAAATCCTCGGGGTTGGTTGAAGTCTCTCTCCCCAGGTCTCCGTCCCTGCCACTCTGCCGACCAGAGCTTCCAACACCATGCTCCCTTGGCAGTGTTCAGAGCTCGTTGCCCCGAGCTCTCTCCCCTGTCCGGGGTTGAACTTTATTTATTTTTGTTTTGGTGCAGGGAGTTCCCGCAGCCTCTGCTGCCACTCACTGCCTGGGTTGGCTTTGATCACGCTGGTGCAGCGTGCTACCGGCATGAGGAGCTTCCACCGCCTCTCACCCTCCTCTTGCTTCTTCACCAGCAACTCCTGTGGGACACTCCATGCACCCCAGCATCGCAGCATTCATGAGCCCCTGCTACCTAGAGGTATGTCAAAAAAACATTTAAAGTTGCATCTGTGTCCGAATCGCCAAATCTTTCCAAATCTCTTCGAATAGATGGGGAGGGTTCTGATTCAACTGAGAGAGATTCAAGGGTCCTCTGATATGATTCAGATTCAGAGATTCAGTCACTGAATTGGGTCTAATCGAATCAGGGACCAAAGCTTTGCACAGCCCTAATAACTATATAGTTGGGATAAAGTTAGAAAAGCTTTTGAATATGAGACATTCTAAAGGTTGTCTAACTCTCTCCCAGCTACTTAGTTGGTCCAGTAAAAGATATCACCCTAAGAAATCCTTGCCTCTCACATAAGTTCTGAACCATCATAGCTATAGTGTCACTCTTAAACTACTGTAACAGTAAGAGATCTGACACCAACACAATTATCCACATGCCATGCTCTGTTTTCAGCCACAATAGCATAGAGTCAAGGATATGGGCAGAAAGTAAGTACTGACTTTGCCCAGGCGTGGGAAGTTGGAGACAGAGTGATTGTTACTAATATCATTGACCTCATGTGTATGTTTCTATAGAGCCAGCTAGATTGTTATTTGCTTTAGGGGTGTTGGCAGATGATCTTAC